TAACCCTGGCTGCAGGCTGGCTCATTGCTCGCGCTCTGGAAATCTGGGGGGCCTGTTGCGTTCCCTGGTGGTTCCAAGGAGGATGTGATGTGAAGCCAGAACGCTGCTCAGAGGTGCTAACCGCTCTTGGCTGCTTCTCCCTGCCTAGTGTCACCTCGTTGTCTGTGGAGACTCTGCCGTTCCTAGCGGTCACCTTCATTACCGAGAACAGCCTGGTGGCAGCGGTAAGTCTACGGCTCGCGCCGGGAAGCTGAGCGGCTGCTCTGGTGCCTGGCGGCTTTGAGCCGAACACACTGTTGGTGTTTCCCCAGGGCCACGACTGCTACCCGATGCTCTTCACCTACGACGAGAGCCAGGGCTCGCTGACCTTTGGCGGGAAGCTGGACGTCCCCAAGCAGAGCTCCCAGCGTGGCCTGACCGCTCGCGAGCGCTTCCAGAACCTGGATAAGAAAGCCAGCACCGAGACCAACAACGTCACGCTGGAAACGCTGCACAAGAACAGCATCAGGCAAGGGCCGGGTGGGGCACCGGGAGGGACCCTGCCGCACGTTAGTCCCGGAGACGGTGGGGGATGGAGCTAAGTCCAGCCAAACCCAAATCCCAGAGCTGCCTCCTCACTTCGAGGAGGTTCGGCTTCCAGTCTGACCCCGTTAGTGTGGGACTGGCTGAAGTGGAGGCTTGCACTGCAGAGCATCTCCCTGGCCGTTCTGCAGGGACAACCTGCCTCCCCTTGCTAGAGCTCACTTGCTCCATGCAGCCTTGTTAGCTGGGAGAGCCCCTGCTGGTGGCCTTCACAACTGAAGGTGGTGAGTTGGGTTGCACGAGACAGAAACTTGGGCAAAGCTCTCCTGTTGGAGCCAGCCTTCCCGTGTGGCAGGTGGTAAAAAAACCCGGAGCTTAATAAACTCTGAGTCGAACACGCCACCTTAAAAAGACTCTGTCAAATGCTGAGGCCAGGGAAGCCAAAGGGCAGCTGACTTTCCAGTGTCCGTCTGTGCTCTCCAGCCAGATTTCCGTGATTGCCGGCGGCAAAGCCAAGTGTACCCAGTTCTGCACCACAGGAATGGACGGGGGGCTGAGCATCTGGGATATCAAGGTATACAACCCCAGCAGTGACTGGAGACGTGTTTGCAAGTTATGGGGCTTTCTTGGGTCACCTCAGATCACAGCCTGAGTGCCAGGCCCTGCTCGCGGTTCCAATAGCATCAGCGCCTCATTGCAGCCAGCTGTAAAGGAAAATACAACGTGGCCCCGCAGCCCTTCTACACGAGGGGATTGCTGGCTCTGGGGAGTGGTGCTTCTGCAGCCACTGGGGGAGGGATTCTCAAAAGCACCTGGCGTTGGCCTAGCTGCTCCTAGGCCAACTCTGCGCCCTTAACCAAGCAGGGTTTTTATTTACTGGGGTTGTTTTCAAACTGTCCGCCCGAAAGACCCAAACGGCAGGGGAAGCCTTCCCAGACATTTCAACTGACTTCTTTGGGAGCCGCCCCCACTACAGTTATGAGGCTGCTAACAAAGCTAATCTCTGCCCTGATTGTGCTTTCTAGTTGCTTTTATTACGCCTGCTGGCCGCTGATTAGCAGCAGGTAACAAAATTCACACTACTGGGAAGGACTGAGTAGCTCAGAAGCCTTGTGCCGGATTACATGGAGACAGCAAGGAGAAAGCTGGGTTCTCGCTGTTGGAAGATGCTCGGGAAACGTTATATTGTAACAAACGCTTCCATTTCACGTCACGCTCGCGTCCCCAGCGTCCCACTGATTTGCAGTTCTGCGACCCCCAAATGCCTGGGAGCTACCGCTCAGCACCGGACACTGCTTGCAGGCCAGTCCTGGTACTGAGAGCACATACCTTTACCTAGCACTACACTATCCAGACTCACAAAGCCACCGCGCGGTTCCCCAAGGCAGTGCTGGGAGCGGACGGCACTGAACGCTGGCTGGTTGCTGGTGCAGGCATATTGCTACTCCTTGTTATTGCCACTCTCTGCTGCCATGGGCTAGCTCCAGGGGGATGTGTGTCCACAGGAGGCTATTTCCTCGCCTTCAGACCCCAGAACCCGGATCAGCTTTTCAACCTTTTCTTCTGTTGAAAGCTATTCAGCATGCCCGAGGGAGTGTTCCACGCCGGTGCTGCGCCCATCACAGCCACTCACATGAGCACAGATTGAGTCCTTGTGTAACAAACGCTGCTTGGAATGGGATGGGATCAGACGTGCCGCCGAGCCCTGGGCTCACCTTGTGCGACTCCACCCATTCCGTCACAGCTAGTAACATTCGGCAGAGACATTCTGTCCATGCTTTGACCTACCCAGATAGTTCTCCAGGCTGGGGGGGAATATTCCCAGGATGGTATTTTTAAAATTCAGCCTGATCAAAGGGAAATTTAGAACCCGACACTAGCCCCTCTGATTAGAGGATCCTGCAAAAGAAATGGACACACCCAACTGGCTCTGTCAGACAGTTGACTTGAACAGCCCTTTGGAGCAGTGGAGAGCTGTAAACGCTAAGCGCCATAGAAAAGCATGCCATGTCCTCTTGCTGGGGAGGGGGGGGGTAAAGAAGGGGGTGAGTGGGGAATGCTAAATGCAGACTAGCTTGTATTTTTACATGGCTGGACACAGGGCCGGCTCTGGCTTTTTTGCCACCCCAGGCAAAAAAAGCCTCCCACTGCCCCCCCCTGCCTCCCCTCCACGGGAGCGCGCCGAACCCGGCCGGGGCCCTGCTCTCCCGGACCGGCTGGAGCGCAGAGAGCCCGGCTGGGACTCCACTCTCCCCGACCGGAGCGCCAGGGGGAGGGCGGCGAGCCCAGTCGCGGCCCCGCTCTCGGGCCGGAGCGCCGTGCCACCCCAAGCACATGCTTGGTGGGCTGGTGCCTGGAGCCGGCCTGGCTGGACACAATGTCTATCTATTTCCCCCCCCCCAGCATAAAACAAATACCAGCTGTGGTCTACATCCAGTTTTTGCAGTTTCGGCATGTCCACACCAAATCACACCCTTAGTGGTAGAAAGATGTTCTATAGAAATGTGGCTCAGTCCCCTTCCCATCTGGAATCAGTTACACCGGGACAACTGTGTCTACATTAGCGGGTGGTGTTGTAACACTAACTCTAGCAATACCGTTAAAGCAGCAGCTCTTGTGTGGGTCGACAAGGCTTATGAGATGAGGTCACAGAGGGCCCTGCATTAGAGAGGTGACTGGTTGAGAGGCAAGGAGTCTGCTGCAAGAAGCAGGCATATTTCCATGGCTTGTGCTTGCACTCTGGCCGAGCAAGCCAGCCCCCTAATTTGCAGTGGCCAGGCTGCCCAGACTGTTTATTCATTCACTGTGCTCTCACACACCCGGAGAAAAGTGCTTGTTGGAAATCTTTGTTGTTTTCCTTGTAGAGCCTGGAGTCCGCACTGAAGGATCTCAAGATCAAGTGACGGAGCCTGTCGGGAAAGGCCATTTGCAGCACCGCCAGCCTCGCTCTCTTATTCCAATTCTGCTTGCTTTTTTTTCTGTAAGATGTTGAGTTCAGATCAAGACGACTGATAGTTGCAGATACACATCTCCCCTGGCAGCGGTACAACTGCCTGGGCTCAAAGGCACTTGGGAGACTTGTCAGCTGAAGTAAATTAAGTACAAAGAAATTAAGTAGTATTTTTAAGACTTTTTTACATTTTAAAACAATGCACCTATGCTGGTCATAAATTGCTTAAAGAAACAGAAAATAAAGTGTCTTTTTCATGTAAATCCAGCGGCTGCTTTCTTTCGAATATATATTGATGTCGTGTCACTGTTAAGTTCTCCCCAAGGTAGCAGATATCATGGGGGAGTCTCCTAGTGCTGTCTCTGCGTCTGTTTCACACCTCAGAACCACTTCCTGTTTCAAACAATTGCTGCACTCACGCCTGGCACCCTTTATTGCCAGAACAGAAACAGCTTTTGCCTGGGAGGCGTTCTGCCCATGCCTGCTCAGCCATGTACAGCCCCACCCAGTCTGCTCAAAGAGAAGCAGGTTTCCCAACCTGCGATGTTGCTGCCCTGGTTTCATAACTCTACCTGCAAACATGGGACCCAAAGCTTGCGCCTCCAGTGTGCCATCCTCGTGGTTGAGTTCAGCACAGCTTCCAGACAGGTGGGGGCTTTTCAAAGACGCAAGTAATAAGCCTGGTGTGTGGCACCTTATCTTTCCAAAACACTTAAAGATACAAGGGGATAAAGATGGAAGAAAAAAAGATCGTTCCCATTGGATTTTAACCAGTCGTGTCCACTTCTAAATGTCTCCTTCTCATTTATACAGACTTCCAAGGATCACGTTCTGGCGCCCAGCTAGGGGACAACTCTCTCCCGGTAGCACAGTGGCATTTTTGATTGTTGGAGTTTACATCCCCACTGTGTGTGATCACAGGCGGTTCTGAGACACACTTATGAGAAAGGTGTTAAACATGGGAGACTCGGTGTAGATCAGATTATCAGACACTGATCAAACCTTTATGGATACAAACATTCAAGTCAGAGCTTTCCATGATAAATACGCCCTCTTTTCCCTCCTCCCAGAAACCTCACACTAACCCTCCCACCTCTGATGCCACCCAATTCTGAAAGGTGTAACAGTCCAGGGTTAGCTCTAACCACATTGAAGAGGACATGGATTGAAAGAAGTTAGAGGACAATTATCCCCTTCCACTAGGCTAGCCAACTGTGTGTGTGTAGAGCAAATCTAATGAGATGTCCACCAGACCCAAGCAGGGAAAGCGCGTTACCTTCAGGCTGTAGCTGTTGGTACAGTCCAGATGCTCCAGTCAGACTTGTCCTATTGGCTCCATTTTGACAGTGCAAGCGGCACAAAGTGCCAGGAAAGCAGAGCAAAACAGAGACATGAAATAGCAAGTCACCATCATAGCTCACAGGTACGGGGCATCTCCCACAAGTTGTTGTAACTGGAAACCCCATAGAAGCATACCCGGTGCCCATGAGATTTCATGCTGACATGCACAAAAGACAAGGGCAAAGCGTTTACGATAATTTAAATTTTAATCAGCCAAATATACAAGTTTGGGTTGGTTTGTTTTTAATTTATTGAGTTTTTCTTTTTACCTGGGTTTTGGTACAATCAATGAAGGCTTTGCTTTAAACAAAGGATGATGTGGTTAAAAACTGACACTATCCCTAGTCAGAGGAGAGAAAAAAGGAGGGAAAGGGGGGGGGGAGGGGTGGAGGGTGAAAATGGGAATGAACAGCACTCCAGAAAAACAGCCCTGAAGTTAGGCTTCCAGACTATTCTTACAACACTCTGCAGCTCAATTTCACGGGCTGTTTGCAGAAGTGGGTCCTGACGATACACCCCCCCGACCTTTGGGTTTTCATCAAGATTACCGACCCCATACCCCACCCCCAAGCTGACAGAAAAATCTAGGTTTTGTGATCTAATATATGAAGCATTTCCCCTCCCACCTTGCTCCCCTACCCTGCCCCTAATGTGTTCTCGGTCCTAAAAACAGCAAAAACATTCAGGTTTCCAAACTGTTACACAGAGAAGTGCTGTTCAGCACGGTTCTGCCCTGAAGATAGCAGCTGCCCCCCCAACCCAAAATGGAATTCTGTGCCAAGATGAAGACGAACACACTGTCAGTGTCTCTTGGAGGTGAATTTGACTTCGATGTTGCAGTACACCCTGCATGTGGTATGCAACATGGCAGAGTTCCTGGCAGGCACCAGGCAGAGTTCCCTGGAATTCTTCCTCCTGCATGTCCTGTGCTTATTTGTTAAGGGATAGTGATTGCAGTCTTTTGCCTGCCACAGACGCGTCATCTTTTGCTGTGGGAGTGGGAGGGGAGAAAGAAAAGAGAGAGACTTGTCAATGTTTCCAGATGCAGGTGGGGAATTGGTGCTGTCTCGGTGGCCCTAGAGACAGAGCTCCATTTAGCCACACTAGACGTATAACAGCTTAGCAAGTGTCCCTCTGCCACCCCCCTGCTTAGATGCTAAAATTCCTGGTGGGTCCACATCCAGAGTGAAAGGAGAATGCCATCTCTACGGTCCATCCTGACCCTGGCCTCAGTCATTGGTGCCAACTGTGGAGAGATCTGTGCAGTGCGAAATGCACTGAGACCAAACCCCCATCACCACTTTGGTTCACTAGATACTTCAGCTGAATTAAGGGTCAGCCTGTGACCTAGAGGTGCAAAGCTCTATATCCTATTACCAATTCCCTGAGCCGTTTAGGCCCCACCCCATATGTACTTCTGATGCACAATATCCAAGCTGTTTGCAGGGAATTCACTGAACTGCTGGTGCGAACATGTACAAAAATCCACTACCTTTGCCTGTTCAGCTGAAGCGCTGAGGTGTAGAGAGCAAATCCCTCCTTACTTTGCCTGCTCACTGCCTAACTAATCTACCCCTTTATGACGCAGCATAAAGCAGAGGATGAAACAAAGCTGACTCTAGGGTTGAACAGAATAGCTGTTTAACAGCACACAGTAACAGCACTGGTAGAAAGGGAATACTATGCCTACTTCGCTTGTGATACTGAGATCACAGCTCCTGGAGGTATGGCTGTCAGCGAGGACAGTTAGGGGTGGACTGAATGAGGAACTGTTATTGTAAGGCCTTACCTTTTCTTTCCTCCTCTTTCTTTTTGGCAGCTTCTTCCCTCTGTTTCCGGATGATGGCTAGTCGAGCGAGATCTGCCTTTGCCTGTTCCGTTTTACCAGCTAGATGCATTTTCATGTATCTTTCTTTTGCTTTCTGCTTCTCTATTTCTTCTCTGTTTGAGTGAAATACACTAGTCGTCATGGTATCCAAATTAACACACAGGTATCGTTAGCGTTAGAAAGGGGATTAAGAGAAGGCGTGATCTCGAGCAGCATCGACCTCTGATCTTAGAGCACAAATGCGCAGTCATTTCAATCTCTAATTAGCATTTTAGCAATTGAGCAATTCAAGGAGGCTGAAGATCAAAATAATGTTTAAATCCTTTTCAGAGCAGTCACGGGGCTTGGGAAAAGCCATGCTGAAGATGGCTTCTGGCTTGAAAAGCTACCTAAATAAAGGCTTCTTTCTAACATTCATCATCACCCCACCCAAGTGTCTCACAGTAGCCCAGTGAATTAGGGATTGTTTCTGTTCCCACTGTGCCAGGGAAAACTCTGGCACAGAGTTAAGTGACTTAGGGTACGTCTATACTACCCGCCGGATAGCGTTCCATGTATCGGGGATCGATTTATCGCGTCTCGTCCAGACGAGACAAATCGATCCGCGAATCGACGCCCGTACTCCACCTCGGCAGGAGGAGTAAGCGGAGTCGAAGGGGTGAGCCACGGCAGTCGACTCGCCACCGTGAGGACGGCCAGGTAAGTCGAACTGAGATACTTCGACTTCAACTATGCGAATAGCGTAGCTGAAGTTGTGTCTCTTAGTTCGAACCCCCCTGCTAGTGTAGCCCAGGCCTTAGCCTCATATCCCACAACAGGACAGTGTCAAACCAGAGCATAGTCCTCCTGCTTCCCAGTCTAGTGCCCTACCCAAAAGCCACCCTTCAGCTGTAGGAATCGGTATTGAATCAAACTCGCACTTTTCTCTCTAAAAACCCACGTGTGAAATGGCAACTGAGTTCAAGACTGAAAACAAAATCTAAGTGTCCACTGGGGCAAGTAACTTCACTCTGACCCCAGGAATCTGGAAAACGCACTCCCATCCATACTAGGGCTCCTGCCACACCAGGAACTTAACAGGGTGACCCTTGGCATGGTATTTTTCTGCCACTACGCACTAATGCACAGGGGCAGTTATTTCTGATTATTGACATCAGGCTTTTAGAAAGGAAAACTAGATAGCCAGGGTCCATGACTAGGGCTACTAGGTGCTTAACACAAATAATTAATAACCATTATAATAATTAGCAGAGGAAAAAACACTTATGCCCGTCTCAATGCGTTTCGCAAAGCTGCCTGACTTTAGGATGACAAGGTGGGTGAGGTAATATCTTTTATTGGACCAACTTCTGCTGGTGAAAGAGACAAGCTTCCAAGCTTATACAGAGCTCTTCTTCAGGTCTGGGAAAGGTGCTCAGAGTGTCACAGCTAACTACAGATTGTTTAGCATAAGTAGTTAACACATATAGGATGGCAGCCACCAACATAGGCTGGCTCTACTTAACCATGTAAGTTCCTACCCAATGAAATTGGGATCCAAAGTGAATCCTGACAATTATCTTCACACCTACTGTGACGGTGGGCTCAAATAAATAAAGGACCTCACTGAGACGGCAACTTCCCTCCCAGCAGGTCAGATTTACTGGCACTACGTGGCTTGGCCACTGCAGGGGGCAGAACATTATTCTAGGAACAAACACAGAACACACATCTCTCCAAGCTATAAGAGAGAAGGGGGATTGTTACCGCTCTCTCCGCGACAGCTCCTTGGGTCCATCCAGATCCAGCTGAGTTACTTTTTTGGCTGTCTGAACAACGCGATTGGGATTCTCTATGTCTATCAACCCTTCCACGCCTTTGCGCTTTTGCTGGAGTTTAGAAACAAAGGACATGCATGTTATCAATGAGTTCTGTAGCTGTCAAGGCTCAATGAGTCTTCTTCACATACATCCTAGTGGAGAAAGTTCACTCACGTGGTCATTACCTCTGAAACCAAACCTAGACAGACACTAAAAAAATTCTTATTACCAGGGAATATATCTGCTGCCACATCGTATTTTACTTTACCATGTGTTTTCAACCCCATTGTTAATAGTGAACGTTACCACGTCTGTTTCTTCCACTTCAGTGTACAGCAATGAACAAATTATTAATGGAGTGAAGATTAACTAGGAGGAGACACACACTACGTTTAACTTTAAAAAAATCCCACCATCCTTATAAATCTGGGCTCAGGAGCCCACAAATACATGGGGAAAATAAAAATCAAGGATTAGCAGGTTGGTTGTGCCTTGAGAATGTGGGGTGTTCATCTACGTTAAATGCATTGGGAGTTACGGTACCTGATAGTCCTCGTCATCTTCGTCACTCTCGTCTGAATCTAACGATTTCTTCTCTTTTTTGGGGTCTCCTATTGCCCCCTCTCCCCCTTCTTCTTGCTCCTCCTCTTCCTATGCGTTTACAGGAGATTAAGAAAAAATGTAAACTGATGAAATTGCAACCACTAGCAACGACTCTTTAAAAGAAGTCAGCACAGTGAAAACATTAATAGGCAAGGGATACAACTGCATGGCCGAGAATGTCAGTATTATTGGTATGTCTTCTCTAATCAATTTTATTTGTATTGCATTCAAGAGCAAGATACGTTTTGTCCCCTAAATGTGTCCCATTATTCACATCACCTGCATTAACAGGGTCCTCAATAAGAGACTCCACTGCTTTCTATATACAATATGATATCCATTGCTAGGTAACTTGATCACCATATTCTATGTTTCACATTTTACCTCCCACAGAGGAAGAGAATAAGGGACACATTCTGACTTTGGTTTCAAGTGCTCGATACCCCATTGATTTTGATAGAAACTGCCTAAACATTACTACGAATTAGATCCAGCTCTAAAACTCTATGTCACCAACAGAAAATCTGGAGAATTGCAGATTGTCAAACCCAACATAGAAGTGTTTCCACATATTGTAATTCAGGTGACAGAATGATTTACACCACTTGACTCTAAGCTGCCTTTGCTCATGAACTGCAAAATAATTGAGTATAAGAGCAGCAGTTTATCTCGCTAAGCACATGACCAGACAGAACACATACCCTGGCCTTTTGTTTTTCTGCTTGGAGCTGTGCATCAATCTCTTCAGGGCTTGTGTACTGTCTTGCTCGGCCTTTGTGGCCTCCTTTTCTACCTGCATGAGAAATTAAGTCAGTAGCTGATTTAGTGAGATGTTTCCACAAACTCAAAAGCCTGTCCCCAATTCTCTCTTGGCTGTAGTTGTGCATAGTACAGACCAGTTCTTCTTCCAGTAAAAGCTAAAAGAACGCAGAAGTAGCCCAATAATTCACCAACCTTAGTCAAGCACTTCGAGCCCTTAGATAAATACACAGAGAACTGTTATTGAACCACAAAAGTGTTCAGAGAAAATTTTTCAGACTTAGCTTAACCCCTCCAGTTTCTAGGGAAGCCTGCACCAGTTGGACCATCTAATCCAATGGTCTGTATTTGAGAGGGCCCAGTTATACCTGGCATCACCAGAAAAGAACATAGCCCATCATCTCCATAAGATTCTCTACATCATGTTAGCAAATAAAAGCTCTGAATAATTTCAACATTTCCTGTAGTTCACTAGGGATGTTCTCACCACTCCTCAAGGTAGGTACTACTGTTTTCATCCCTCAACTACTACAGACACCAGGCATTGCAGCATGGTTCTGTCAGGCTATAGAAGGATGAGGAGAATTACGCTTCCAAGGGCTCAAGATAGTGGAATGACACCATCCTTCCCCTTCCATCCACATCCACAGTTGCCTCTGATTCACTTCCTGGGTTGGCAACCAAATATAAATCCCACAACCACTCCCTACTCTGCATTTACTACACAGCAGGAAGCTGCGCTCTAACTATGCTGCCACAGAAACACTAGGGAGTGACAGCAATTGTAAGTGAATTTCTACTATAACCCTGATTTTTCCTGACTGCCCGCCGCCCCTACACACATACCCAGAAAAATGAGAGATGAAATCAGTTTCCCTGGATGCATTGCCCTAGCTGAGATCCGGTACCTACCACCAAACTTTAATACCTATCGCCAAACTTAAATTGATTGATGTGAAATCACTGAAACTATTAATGTTTCCCGAAGAATGGCAGCGCCAGTGGTCGCGGCACAAGACATCCAAGGACTGCTGGAGACCTGGGCTTTCTTTTTTAAGCAGTCTCTACCCTTTTCCCTGCAGACACAGAGCTCAAAGTACAATCTGACCACTAAAAGTACTTTGCAATTATTTTTTTGCCAAACAGTTCATGAGGGGGTTCTCTCCTCCTGCAGATCTCAGGAGGGCCACTGGCAGGAGCCATGGGACATCCGTTTGACCTCTTTACCCCCCTGTTTATTCCCCGAGGTCAGTAAGTAGCCTTGCGGGGAAGGGGTCGGGGGCGAGAGATCAAGGGAACACTCTTCCTGAGATCTGTATGAGGGGAGAGCACCAGCTCCCCTGCAGAGGTTCAGTAGTGCCCAACTAACCTAATTTGTTGAGCTGGTTGAATAATTGGAAAATGTTCATGAAAAAACTGTCCCTTTTTTGGCATTAGTACATTGGTCCAGCAGAGGCAGGCAACCCCTGTTTTCTTGATCAGAGCTGAACCACTTACTGTGACCGTGGCTGGAGTTGTCTTGAGGAATCTACCAAGGCTGGGGGGGCACAACTGTTCATGAGGAGGGCTCTCAATAGCTCAGTAGCTCCAACATACCTCCCCCCCGCTCCCCTCGTCCTCTTTCCTCACACTGCTTATCACTGATTTTCTAAAGTCTCTAGGAAGGGAACTTTGAACATGCAGTTCTTAGAAGATCTGAAGGGGGGAAATGAAAAAAGCAGGAGGCTTGAAGGGAGAATTCCCAGCCAATCTTGGGGAGCTCAATAAGCCACCTCCCCACAAATCTTAAGAAGCCTCATGGCCCCTTCACCTCTGCATTTCTACGTTTTCTAACATGAGAGGTGAGGTTCTGTACACTAGTGGCCTTGAAAGGGGATATTCACTCAAAGAACTTACATGTGCCTGCCGCCTTCAAAAAGCATGGGATAGATTTTCAGTTGTGATTTCAACTACAGTGTCTGCAGCCACTGATAGATGGTGCTGTCCATTAAAGGACTTCTCTACCCCAGTAAACCACCCTTTTTTTCCCTCACAGCTTATAGAGATGCCAGAGTAGCGTTACAATTCAAAATTGGTTACTTATTTAAAAAAAGTGTGGCATGACTGATACAGGTACAAAGTAACTACTATGCTGTAAACTTTATGCATTATTCTACCCCGTGAAGGGCTACATGATCTAAAACAATGATCTGCTACAATACTACCAGGGTAACTAGGCTCTTTGGTGTCTGGCAGATGCATTTTCAGGCATTTGTTTTCTTTATGAGTCAGGTCAGCTTATAACAGCAGATTTCAACGTACTTTTTCAAAAAATAAAACTAGCCTGTAACCCCCTTTGGTCTTCACATTAGGTGTTGTCAAAAGCAATAGATACGAAGAGCAAAGCTTATTAGTTCTAAGTTTTACCCATTCTACACTGAAGCCTGTACCAAATAATTAAGTATTGTACCGCTCAATACTTTTACCATCATCTCATCAACTAGAATGAGATGAGACCTGAGTCGCATTAGTATGCCGATATTTAATCAAGGAGGGCATAGGGAAGGCCTTTGCTCATGGTAAGGAGGCAGGACTGTAAGGGGCTTTGGGCTGTGAGTCATGCAACCTGAGTTCTATTCCTAGCTCTGCCACTGACCTGCTGCATTACGTTGGGCAAGTCACTTCACCTCTGTGCCTCAGTTTCCCCCATCTGTAAAATAGGGATAATGAGTCTTATCCTCCTTTGCAAAGCACTTTGAAACCCACAGATGATTGTATTTTTAAACTATGGTAAAGGCACACAGAGCCTAAGATAGGCATGTTTTTAAATACATATTTCAGTCTATAAGAGTATTACTATTAATGTGAATTTAAGCTTAGAAGAATTTTATGGAGCTATGAGTTTAAAAAAAAACTTGGGAAAACGGGTTTCGACAGCCTCTAAACAGAGATCAAGAAGTACTTCAGAAACACTTGTTCTGTATTAGCAGACAAGCTCATATTTGTGCAGCAGAAAGGGTTTCTCTCCCAAAACATTATGAACTACTTCTTCAATAGCGCTATTTCTTTACAGAACATAGATTATAAAAAAATTACACACACACATTACAGAAAAGAGAAGAGCATTCACCGAGTGGATCCTTTTGGAGCAAGATGTATTTGTAATATATGCAGCTGCGGGTTTTTTGTTTTTTTTAATTATTGACAGGATTAAATCCAAGTGTGCTACCAAACACTGCAGGCAAAACCCTGGCCCCCCTGAAGTCAATGGCAAAACACCCATTGATTTCATTGGGGCCAGGATTTCACCCTGCAAAGCCACAGACAAACTTGAGAGGGGTATGTTTAGAATTGTGTGATGAATTTGGAATAGGAAAAATTGAATTTATTGAGCTTTCATTACAAAAATAATTATGAGCATCAATACAAATAAGTCTGGAGCCTTTTCCTATGTCTAGCAATAGTTTTATATAGTACAAACTGGTATGAAGGATGTCTGGCCTAGATCAAGATATCAAAGAACCTGTATTAAAAAACTGGGAAACAAATCTTATGATATTAAAGACCGTGGAGGGCGGGGGGGGGGATACTGTATTTGATGCCTAAAGAATTCTCTAACAGTCACAAACTCAGTTAATGGACACTAATAAAGTAAATTGGCAGAGACTACAGGAAGGGTAGAATGGGGAATAATAATTTACATTAACATAGTAAGATTTGATTCCATAGAAAGCATGAAAGAGCCAATTATGTGGACAGATTTAGTGAATCTAGAGAATGATCTGGGTAGATCCAGCTCAGACTTGATGGACTCTCATTCCCTCATTAGCTCTCCTGTACCACATGCAGGCAGGTTGGTACCCACTGCATAACAGCAAGATGCTGTGAGTGAAGCTATTATGATGGTGGGTTTAGAGCCACTAAAAACTCTAAAATGAGACATTAAAAGTCATCTTTGTGTCTTCTTCTGTACAGTACTCTTATGCAGCAAGTAACCACCTTCTCTTCATTTAGATCAGTAGTTCTCAGACTTTTGTACTAATAGCAAGCCTCTGAGTGTGACCCCCCCTTATACATTAAAAACACTTTTTTATATATTTAACACCATTATAAATGCTGGCAGCAAAGCAGGGTTTGGGGTGGAGGCTGACAGCTCACAATCCCCCATGTAATAACCTTGCGACCCCCTGAGGGGTTCCGACCCCCAGTTTGAGAACCCCTGATTTAGATCCTTTCTACATATCCCCAGAGGCCTCTCAAATACTAATCCACTGAAGGAAGAATCTTAAAGAACCACATGCCATCAGCATCCCTTTGAAATAGGCCCCATCAGTCAGTACATTGGGTACATGTGAACTGCATTCTGTGCCCGATTTAGCTTGTGAGCTCAGTGCCTCATGTATTCTGTACAGCACCAATCATACACTCCATGCTCAACAGATGCCAGCCTCCTCCCCAGTGCAGAACAAAACCCATCACCTGGCACTAGATCTGCTATGGGCCACCAGTCCCACTACTTTTCCCCTGCACACAGTACCCCTACAACTTGCACATACCCCTTAGTTCCCAGGGGCTTCTGCCCCCTCATGCTTCTCCCATCACCCACAGGGGCTTCAAGCTGGTACTCCCCTGAACCTGCCATCGGTCCATGGGGGCTTGCACCTCCCCATAACCCATCACTCCATTCCCCTGGGCTTGCATCTTCCTCTCAATCCAATCGCTCCAGGGGGGTTATACCCCTCCCCCAGGGACTTAGGGCTTGCCCCCCCCCCCTTGATCCTATCGCTGTGGGGCTTACACCCCTTCCCCAGAGCCCTAAGGCTTGCCCCGACAAACCCCACTGCTCCTAGGGGGCTTATACCCCTCCCCCAGGGACCTAGAGCTTGGGCCCGCCCTTAACCCACCACTCGTGGGGGGGGTTATACCCCTTCCCCAGGAACCTAGGGCTTGCCCCCCCCCAACCCCACCGCTCCTGGGGGGGCTTATATCCCCCCCCCGGGATT